TGCGATATTGATTACGATCACTGATTTCTACATTGTATTATTGCGGATGCGATTCATGAAATTGCAGCAATTATTTGGGCTCGAGAACTAAACTTGATTGAGAGGAGGAATTCGATCGCGACTCTTGAGCTGTTCGGGATTTTGCTCGCGGAAACCTATCAGGCTTATACCAGTTCACGCGGATGCCGTACGGCTTGACGGGAGCGCCCGCGACCTTCCAACGGTTACTTGACAGGTTGATAGGGCCGGAGATGGAGCCGAATGCCTTCGCGTACTTAGATGACATCGTAATCGTAATGCCAACCTTCGGAGAGCATTTAGAGTGGCTAGATCGCGTGTTGCGAAAATTTTTGCTGCCGGATTAACTATCAACCCCAAGAAGTGCGAATTTTGCCGCTCACAAGTTAAATATCTCGTTAATATTATATTATAGCACTTGATAAGGGCCGAAACCCATGGCCGAAACGTTGTAAAAATTTAATAAATTTACTTATTTTCCAGATTTGGTCAATTGAATTATTACCATTTTTTAAATATCTCGGTTTTATTGTGAACAAGAACGGATTATCCGTAGATCCGGAGAAAGCGCAGCCAATTCTCGAGTATCCGGCCCCGAAGAATTTAAAACAACTACGGAGATTTTTAGGCATGTCATCGTGGTATCGGAGATTCATTCCTAAGTTTGCGACTCGGAGCAAACCTCTAACACGCCTGTTGAAGAAGGATCAGCCGTGGAAATGGGCCGACAAACAGGCCCACGCGTTTGAGAAAATTCGATCGTATCTCGTTGCCACGCCTACGTTGTCGCGACCCGATTTCGATATTCCATTCGTCCTTCAAACGGACGCCAGTTCCGTCGGATTAGGTGCCTTGCTTACACAAACTATTAACGAGGAAGAACACGTAATCGCCTTTGCGAGTAGGACTTTAGCCAATCCGGAAAAGCGATACACCGTGACGGAGCAAGAATGCTTGGCCGTTATCTGGGCGATTAAGAAATTTCGACCTTATCTAGAGGGATATAAGTTTACAGTGATCACCAATCATAGCAGTCTGCGATGGCTGCACAATCTAAAAAATCCAACCGGTCGATTCGCGAGATGGGCTTTAGAGCTTTTAGAGTATGATTACGAGATCATACACCGGAAGGGCGCGTTACATCACGTGCCTGATGCGCTCTCGTGAATGTTCGAGAATAATACCGAGATCCCGATTGTAGCCGCGGTAGATGCCGTAGAAAACGCGAATACGAGCGACGCATGGTATAGGAAGCGCTTTGCGGAAGTCGCCAAGAAAGCACGCCCTTTTACGGATTGGAGAATAGTTGACGGACAATTGTATTTCTGTCGGTCGAAGCCTGTTGTTTCGGAGATAGTCGAGGATCTGGACAGATGGAAACTTGTGTTGTCGAGGAAGTTGCGGAGAGACGCGTTGAGAGAGGCACACGACGAACTGCATCGAGAAAACGTACCATTGCTTAGCCGTTCGCTATTATTGGCCAAACATGTTTAGAGATATCGCGGACTATGTAAAGCGGTGCGAGGTCTGCCAACGGACCAAGGTCGAGCAGGTCAGCCCTGCGGGTCTAATGGGTCACCGTGTTATAGACACCCCATGGACCGTAGTAGCTGCCGACGTAATGGGACCGTTCCCTCGGAGCAAATCCGGTTTCACTTACGCCCTCGTTGTTCAGGATTTATTTACAAAGTGGGTAGAGTGTTTCGCACTAAGGATAGCTAACGGCAATAAGATCGTCGAGGCGCTGGAAGATGTCGTGTCGCGATGGGGTACACCAAAGTTCCTTTTAACCGACAACGGAACCGAATTCGCCAACCGAACCATAGTAGCTTTCGCGAAAGATTACAGAATAACAGTTTCTAACACTCCGCCGTATCACCCACAAGCAAATCCGACCGAACGTATAAATCGCATTGTGAAGACAATGATCGTTGCCTTTATTGAGCAGGATCATTGAGAGTGGGATGAGCACTTGGGAAAATTCCGTTTTGCGTATAATACCGCTCCTCGATTGGTACCTCGCCCGCGCGTTTTTGAACCTCGGACGGGAACTATGGCCTCCGAACACGATACGCGCAAAATATGATGAGGTTGTCGCGATACAACCTCGGGACCCAATTGAGTGGTCAAAACGTATGAAGGCTATCGCGCCCCTGCGCGACTGGGTTTCCGAGAATCTCGAGCAAGCCTATCAAAAGCAGTCCAAGTACTATAATTTGAGACACCGCTATGTCGTATACAAAGTTGACGATATGGTGCTCAAGAAACAGCACGTACTGTCAGTCGCGTTGAAGCATTTTGCCGCCAAATTAGTGCCAAAATTTCATGGACCGTTTTGCGTTAGTAAAGTCTTATCGCCTGTCGTTTATGAGCTCACCAATTTAGAAGATAAAGTCGTTTCGAAGGTACATGCAAAAGACCTCAAACCCTATTATCTTCCTCACTTCTAAATAGTTGTCGGAATCCTAGCTGCTGGCAGATAAAAATGGAGGGCTTAGTGAGGGATTTCCTTTAACGCCACGAGGCCCTGCTGGACGAGGCCGAAAGGACCAATCCCGGAATCTAGGCCGACATTGGGGAACAGATCACCGAGTACCGGCGACGACGATATACCACTCGAGGAGCGGTGATGCGAGAATTCCCCGCCACCCAGGATACCGACCAACAGATCGAACAGCCGTGGTCCCGACACCACGCCTTTTATTCGGCGTTCAGTCTCGAGTACGAGACACGGGACCAGGCATCCCAGACGGAGACAACCGTGATGCGGGACCGCGGCGCTCAAGTCACCCCCATATTAGTACCAGGGAAAACTCAGACGAGTCGCCCCGTACCGCTGAGAACCCGCTCCGTCGCCACCCAGACGGACGGCGTCAATAGGTCGTCAAAGCCGGATGGAGCTTCCGCTTCCGACTTCTGGGATGTGCCGCTGCCAACACCTCGGCCTCGGGGCAGAGAACGCGGATGGCGACCTTTCTCCTCCGGAACCATTGAGCCGCTCCGGCCAGGCCTCAGAACGCTAGTGAAAGCCACGCGCCAGCTTTCACCCTCGAACGAGCAGCCCGATCGCCCGCCCAAACGGGCGAGCCCGACCTGTCTGCGGGACCGGAAGCGGAACTATAGCCGCTCTCCCGCCTGTCGACTCTCTCAGACGCGGTCACCGGAGGCGACCGAGAAGGAGATCGCCGTATCGAGAGAAAGAGCTAAGGACATCGCGGACCGCCCGTTTAACCAACCCCATCCTCGCTCCACCAGCCATCCAGCATTAGTATGCTGGAATTGTCAAGGGCCCGATTATCGGTACTCAAATTGCCCGTTGCCGCGAGGAGCAACCCCCTATTGCTACGACTGTGGCCGGTGGAGGTCACCATGCGGACGTGCCCCCAGTGTGGACCCGGCGGGGCCGACCTGGGCTCATATTATCCCGAGAAAGGACACCTGGGCCGCCGAGGACCGCCCGACTAGTTGCCGCTCCTATTATATTTTTTTTTCTTTTTTTTTCTTTTCTACCGCCTATCTATTAGTTGCCGTCGAAGCTTCCCATTTTGTAGCTATTCTACAATAAACAAGGAGAGAGGCATCCGCTAATTATACTCCGCTGAGTGACCTTTCTTTCCCGTTTCGTCTGTGAATTTTGCATGTACCGCGTAAACTTGGAGGCGAGACAACTAGTTCTTTTGAGTTTAATTGCTATTAATAGAGTAAAGTCGTCGATGCAAAGAAAGAGAGATCAGCCGCTGTCGAGCCATCGCCCCTAGTACCGTTTCGGAGTACAACCCGTAAGTAGTTCGGCGGATGGATGACAGCGTCGATTCTTGGTCGGGACCTTCTCCCGATCTTCCTTTGGGAAGGAGAAGTTGTGACGTAACAAATTGAGATTGTCCGTCACAAGGGCCGAATGGCCGACCGGGAAGGACATGGGACCTCTGCTCTCCCGATATAGCGGGGGAAAGAGAGAAAGAAAAAGAGGGAGAGAGGGAGAGAAACCCCGCGTTAGGAACGCCGACGGGAGAGCTGTCGCCTCCCCGGAGGCCCGGAGGAGAGCCAAGGAGCGGCCCCGCCGTGCACTGCCGCGTCGACCGCCTAAGGAGGGCAACCAGCGGACAAGGATCCGCGCGCCAGGATAATTAAGCGCGCGGCCGCAAGAATCATCAAGGCCACGCGCGCGGCCCGACCTGATAGCGCCACGAATGGCTTATCTAGGTAATTGGATCACCGGCGTGTCTCCTGAGGGTTCCCGATTTGTCACTGTCTGGCGAGCGCCCGGTGAGATAAGTGGGTGGGTCCCGAGGTAGATAAGTGGGTGGGTCCCTAATTAACGGTCGTTGTCAAGAATTACGCCGAACCTAGTTGCCAGTCACGCGTGAGAGTTCTAGATATTGTTTTTTTTTAGCCACCTGATTAACGTAGCGGATATTGAGAGAAGAGCTATGACCCATCCACTCTCTCGCGTTCCCGAATATTCTCTCTCCCGCATCGACAGTCCTCGCGTTTAATTATTGTCGCAATATATATATATATATATATATATATATACATATATATATATATATATATATATATATATATATATTATCACCGGTCGCGCAAAATTCACATTGAAAATGTGAACCGTAAAGTAAAAAGGAAATTTCTTCTTCAGAATGTCGGTTTTCAAAGGAAACTTCGGCACGATCTCTCCGTCCAATAATTCACAACTGACAATGAGTTGGGCGCCAGGTGCGGCAGCCGCACCGTCTCTCAATCACACTGATTACCAGAAAAGCCAAATTTTATTATATATATATATATATATATATATTATAATAAATAAGTAATCTTATATAAAATGCGGAATGATTAACAACAAGCAAGTATAATATGAGTTTTTAACGCAACAAAGATTATATTTACTTACCTTATATGAAAATACATATATTTGTACAGGAACAAACTCGTTAAAAACAAACATGCTTGTTTTTCAATAAAGAGAAGTTTAGACATATGAGAACACCGATGTATATTTATATGTATAAAAGGGTAGTACCTAAGCGAACAAGAATTGTAAGTAATAGATTAAGTCATTCTCATTGTAGATTATTCAGAAAGATACACTCTCAGTCAGTCAATCAGATCAGTTCGCATACGATTATTATTCTCAGAGCTTTCGCTATATACGATTCGTCAGCGTTATTTATACTTATACATTTTTGCATTTTATTCTTAAATACTTATAATTATTCGTATACATAATCATACTTGTACTATATTTCCAAAAGTGTACTTATAAAATATATTACTGTATAATTATTCACCGGTGTAACATCACTAAATTTCATATCCTTCATTGATTCGAGAGTCGCCGACCTCCATTGTAAGTATTACAAGTAAACATTATAATTATTCACGAGTTAGAATATAAATCAATTAATTAATATTAATTACTGTTCGATATAAAGTACTTAACAACTAATAAATGATCATATTATTTATTAACAAATAATATTGAATATAATTCAACTATTCATATATAATTATTAATGAATATTTACAATATATTAATCCATATTAACACACATAACTAACTCTTAATAAACTACATCATTAACTAACAATTAACTATCTCACTAATCATTTGTTATAATCTCACGACGATTCCGTTAGTGTTAGTCGACACTCGCGGACTATCATTGCTGCTCCATCCTTTGAGTTGTCTCCTTATACGACTTATTGTACCTGAAATAAATCACAAGCTAATAGTGTCGCATGTGATATAAATACTTCTGCGTGTACAATATATATATATATATATATATATATATATATATATACTCATCTGAACTTAAATCCAATTGGGTTGCTATCTTTTTACTTTCATTTTATTTCTTTATCTATCCTGTAACAAAAGAAGGCAAAGCACATCTTGTAAGAAATCTAGTAGAAACTATCAAAACTGCATACTAACAAGAATAATTTAACATTCAATATGGATCTCATAAAAGCTTACCTATTTATCTCCGGTATAGTAGCAAAATGGGACGCGGAAGAAGAACAGATCGCGCGCGCCTCATAAGAAAACTTACTAGTGCTTTAGAATCGGGCGACTTCTCTTGCAAATGTCACATTCCCCTACTATTCAGCGTGCTTTCTCCAAACGACTAGTAACTACTAAGGAAACAGTCGACGACTCTGAGCCCGAGATTATTTACGAATCTCTGTCGCAAAATCTTCCTGCGATCAAGAGAATCGTTACGTTATGTAAAACATTCAAAATAGTTATCAGACCTCCTAGGAGACCAGAAATCATCACCCTCGACTGAAATAAAAATATATACACATATATCTCAGTAACATTGAGTTAGTTATTTTCCTGCTACATAGTATATAATAAAACTTCGCGTTAGAATTAGTTAATATATAACTATTAATTTAAATAATTACCGATACTATATTATCTTATATAATTATCGAAATTATTTTTTTATTAAACAATTGAAGAAATAATTAATATATAATTATTAATTTATACAAGTATTGATATTATATTATTATCTTATATAAATATCGAAATTATTAATTATTAACAATTAAAGAATTAATTAACACATAATTGCTAATTTAAATAATTATTGATGTATTTATTATTTTATATAATTACTAACCTTGTTACTTATTAAACGATTGATATTGAGAAATACTTAAAAATTTTATTAAATAAATTATTATCAAACCTTATTATAATATCCTTTTATTATCAGTTAATAATATTTATTATTACGGCAGTAAGTACTAACTAATTATACATTTTAATTATTAAAATACTTCCCAATCTCCGTATTCAATCTGTTATCCTGTCCTCGCGCGTTCTTCCCCTACTCCTGACCACGCGCGTTCTACCGCTCGGCCCCGTTTACTCAGGTTTCCCCCACTATGCGTACTCGTGAAGGCGCGTGAACGCGCAGAATTTAAAGCCCAGGACGTGACAATATACTACAACTGAAAACTCACCATTTCTTAGAGTGCAAATATTATGGAGAACGCAAAAAGCTAATATAACTTGTATTTTTTTTATATCAGTCAGGGGTAAGCAATCTAACAAAATACAGAACCGTACCCTTAATAATCCGAACGCTCGCTCTATGGCCATCCTGGTTGATAACAAACAAAAGTTATAATTTGTTTGAAGTGCTGTGAGATAACCATTATCTTTAAATGGAATCATTAAATGCGGAAAGATTGCATATGCAAAATCTGCTATAATGAATATCGAAAGGAAAGTATTCATTTGGCATTTCAATGTATTGTAATTCTGCAAATGCAGAATTTCTCAACACTCTTGTATCATGTACTGAGCCGACATGTCCTGCATAGCAGTGAATAAAAACTGTTTTTGCATTACATACCGCTTGCAAGTGAATCATATGAAATTGTTTCCTGCATATGTATGAAGCAGGATTTTTCTTTGGAGCTCTAATTCTAATATATGATCTATCAAGGGCTCCGATTACATTAGGAAAACCTTGCTTTCGCAAATTCTTCAATAGTACGGTGTAGCACTTCATTTTTTGGCCACTGAATAAATCTTGGTGCAAAACAATGCAAGGCATAAGTTACCTTTCTTACTGCTCTGAATGCTGTTGCTTTTCCAACACCAAATTGGATATGTATTGATCTGCGAAAATAAATATATATGCTACACAACTCTACATTTAAAAATAACAAAAAAACTGCATTCTGATATTGCCAAAACTGAAAATCTATAGTGTATGTATGTATATGACGAAAATTATAGATTTTCAGTACTAGCAGTAAATATTAAAATAGCCATTATATTATTATTTTATTATAGTATAAGAATAAAAGTAAATACCTATATCTAATCTGGAGTAGCTAAAAACTATAATGTTATTAATAGTTGTTTTTTTGCCGATATTTGTTTTCTTCCTGTTGTATTTGTTAGACCCAAAGCTGGCTCAATCAATTGCATAATCATTTCAAATGTTTCAGAAAACATCCTGCAAATAATAAACATGACAATTTAAAGTTTACTATTTTATAAAAATTGCAATTAATTTCTATATTTGCTATTTATTTTCTTTTATAATTAAACAAAATTTATATTTTTTAAGCGGTAATGATGAAAATGCATTTTCAAATAATGAAAAGCAAATTTAAACTTACAAAATATAAATAATTTCTTGTGCAATCATATTAAACTTTACCTGGTATTCCTTGTATTCTTGTCGCAAATATCCTGGTCTACTCGTTGTACATAATCAAATAATTTTTCGGAAGGAATATTTGTTCCTATAGTATTTCCTACTATAATAATAGCATAAATAGTGGACATATCTGTTTCTTCATCACTGTCACTTTCACTTTTCATTTTCACTTTCACTAATGCTCGACAAACATGAGTCGATTGTTGATATTTCATCTCCTAATATCATAAAAGAAGATGAAACAGTAATAATTGAAACCAAACAGGATTCAGTGTCAGCGTCTATCACGTCCATGTTTAATGCATAAAGTGCATGCAATCTGTTCCGTTACTAGAAGACGCATGGTTCATGCATAAAGTGTATAAAGAAACGGAACAAATTTTGCACTTCATGCTCTGCGTAGGGCATTCATGCCTTCCATGCGTGAAACGAAACGCACCCCCAATGATTAGGCGTTTTGTGCACCTCGGCTTCTACAACGCGTTCCTCTGTGTATCGTCTAATATCACGGGGATGGTCGGTCTCTATATCGCGATTAGCAAGTGGTCTATGTGCATCAACTTCCACGAATCGATTATTGTCGCGGATTATGGTATAGTGAAGGCGGTTAATTTCGCGGTCGATGGCACCCTCGGACACACTCATGGCACCGTTCGGCGGTGTCTGCAACATGTTAGCCTGACATTAGTTTGAATCGAAAATACTGTTGTCGTATGATGTTAATGAAAACTCTCTACGTTGCAATATGTTACTGGGAGTTCGGCTTACGCGTACTTTAATTTTATTTTTATTTTCGATATCGGCATTGGTTTCTTTTTCCGCAAACAGACTTTCGTCGAAAGTATCAAACGGGAACTCGCTCGTTCGGTTATCACGTGAGTAGATAATTCTGAGTCGCTCTCGCTCGAATAATGTGCTTCTAATTTTATTTGTACCTTTTCGAGGGTTTCTAAGACAGTGGCAATGCCTTTATTGCCCGCTCGGCTAAGTTGCTAAACAGCCACGATTTATTTGCTATTGATTGCTGGGGAGTTTCGTGTCCTTCTGACATTCACGAAAATAATAAAATTCGGACTTACAGTATTACGGCTCGCATCGTTACGCTCTATACGGGTCGGCTGCTGCTGCTGCAACTCGATCACTTGTGATCGTGAGCTGATAACAGCTGCTCCGAGTTATCGCTCGTAATGATGCGCTGCTCGTGTGGTTGTCGTAGATCAGCGTTGTGATCCTTGGATGTTGGCGATCCTTTTTGACCCTCAACTACTTATCACTCGTTGCACTGCTTGCGTCCGTTTTCTCTTTCTCTCGTTATTGTCGTGGCTTCTGCTTGCTTCCGTCAGTGTTACTGACGTGCCCGTCTAACACCTTTTATAAATATTTTTTTGTGTTTTTACAGGACTTCTTTCTATAAGGAAACTTCGGCAATCTCCGGCATACTACCGTTGCTACCAATTTGTTGCACCTCGGGTAAAGTACTTAGGGATGTAGGCCGGATTAGGAAAAGAACTTCCGAACTGTCGGAGTTTTCCCAATAATTTGTAGTCTCGATAAATTTTAAGTTTACTTCTTTATTCAATATATTGATATATAAACTCAATCAAGACTCTGAGTATAATTATTTCTAGACCTCGTGTGACTCCGTTTCTCTTTTTTACTTGCTTAACGCGACTCTCAATTTATTCGCGATGCGACTCTGATGTTGATCTTTTGAACTCATTCTTTGTTCACTCCTGAGTTTTTATGTAAACTCGGTTTTTTGTTATTTCGTTTGGAAGGAGTGCCTGGCGACAGGCACCTAGTTGGTGAATAGTTTTTACATACGCGGTTAGATTTTGAGCGCGAAGCTGCTCGAAAGACGAAGCTCTTAGCTCGCGTCTCCGCGGTTTCCGGCCCGCTGCTGTATCAGCGGTCTTATCGCGGAAAATATAGTAATTCTATATTTTATATCCGCTGTATATGTAATTATAGCCTTTCGGGCTATAACAATTTAAAATAATGAAATGTAATAAAATCTTTTTCAAAATAAATTTTTATTTTTATGACGCAATATTTTGATATTACAATTTTTTTGTAGAATTTTCAACTAACATTTTATAAACAATTTTTTACATTAATTTAGAAATAACAGTTTTTTATATAACACTTTCGGATATTGAATACATTTAACGGTTTTTATTACTCTCTTTTAAAAAAGATAAGTTTTTATGAATATACAGCAAATAAATAGTAACAAATAAATAACACAACATATGTTATGCTCAATTTATATATAACATATTTTGTTAACATATATATGTAATGAAATACATATGACTGCATGTATATATAAGTTGTTAGAAAAATTAAAAATAATTAATTAATAATACTTAAGCAGCTAAGTAATTTAATAATTAATTTATTAGTAGTAACTTAAATAACTAATTAGTTCATATTAATTGTTTGATGTTAAGCTTAATTATTCTTTTTTTAGCTTTAGTAGTATAACTTTTCTTATAAAAATCATAAAATAAATAAAGAAATATTAATACATTTCCTATAAAAAAAACAGCTATCACTGAATGAAACTTCTCTTGCACTTGACAAGCTGGATTAAAAATTTGCAGACCATATATTATCATTGCAATAAATTGTACCTAATTGCGCAAACAGAAAAATAAAAATGATACACATGCGCATTATATTGCTTATCGAAACATCAAAATAATTAAAATAAATGTGTTTTAAGTGTAAAAGTATAATAATAAAATTTAATTTATAAAATATATATTTTTATTCGAAAAAGATGACAGTCATCAATTTCTTCTTCTGAGAAATATCAACTTGAATTGCTGTATGTTTTATTACTATTATTTTATGTAAAGATAATTATGTAAGTATAATTATAATAATAATAGCTAATCACAAAAAAAAAGAAACATGTATATGGAATATACATAATGCTTTTTACGATTCTGCACTGTCAAATGACATCTGATTATATTTTTCATTAAGTGGAAATCTTTATTGATTTATAGCTTAATGAGATCTGCAAAGGTCGTCATTGACAAAAGTTTGTTTGCTTATCTTACAAACAAGAATATTCATTTTTGTGAAGTGTATTTCTCACTTTGTATGGCTCACTTTCGTGAAGTGTATTTCTCACTTTGTATAGGTGTATAAACTTCTAGCCAGTACATTATTACACATGCGTTTTATAATTACAAGCTCTTTATCAAGATATTTCAGTTTTTTCCGTTTTTTATTATAAATGTATTTGTTTTTTTGCGGTGTTTTCATTAAACTGAGCAATTTGTCACCAGACATTTGGAAGATCTATTTTTTTCCAACATCTCTTTGATATTTCTCAATCGTAAATACATTGCAAATAAAGAAGAAATAAAATGATGATTTAATATTTGAGTTTGTCATTATATTTAAAGCTTACTGTGCTATATATAATATACAGGGTGTCCAGTAATTGTCGCCTCAACTGTCGTGTGTAGGTAGAGTGAGTTAAACCGAATAGGAAAGTCCTCTACCGTTTTGTGATTTTCGCAATAATTATTGAGTTATTAAATAAAAAAATCGGCCAATCCACGCGAATAGAAGCGCGCGACGAAAAGAAATGTCCTACTGTAACACGATACACGGAGCGTCGCTCCTCTCTCCGTTTTGCCGCGCGCCATGTATCATGTTACAGTAGGACATTTCTTCTTGTCGAGATATATATTATTTATTAGATTTTAAAAAGGCTAACTTTGCTAATAAAAAAATATACTTAAAATTTACATGATTCACTTGTTCGTTTTTCTGTATTGTAATTCTTTAAAATCTTTTATGGTAAAGACAGTGTATTGATTTGAAATAATCCATTTTACAAAATATCATTTTTTTAGACGCACCAGAATTTTAACCATACTCATTAATTTTATTCACATACAACCGTATAAACATTGAAAATGCATCTGTCATTACAAACGCGCCACAATAATAAAACAAGTTAGCCATAAATAATAGAAGTTTTCAGTTTAGCAATGTATATCTTTGTAATGTATGTATTTTATTAATATTTATTTCTTCTGGGTGCTTCCTTTCAACTGAAATACAACTGAGGCAGTTTCATATTAACTTTTTAATTTTTGGTTGTAGGTTAGATATTTAATAATTAGGAATGTAAAAATTGGCGTTATTGAATTTAGATTGTTCGTATATTTTATCTTATTCAGTTTTTTCATATGATAACTTAAATTAATAATATATTCTACTAACAACCTTCTAATGTTAAGATATGTATGTGATATAATAAAAGGCCAACTTAACGAGCTTATATGATATTAATTGAAAAATTTTTTTATTGATTTACGTCATAATATACAAAAGTTAAGATAAACGTTTCGACTGTACGACAGTCTTTTTCAATATCATGCTAATATGTCAAAAAATTAATTTAGTCATATCGACCTTATTATAAATACAACATTTATGAGATTATCATATGACGAACGCAGTACAAAATTCATGTTTGTTGGCTTGAGTTAGAGCGTCAGATTTATGTATGTCATGCTGTTATATTATGTAACGACATTTTTTGTCACAAACATAACACTTTTTTTAAAAAATTATTTCTTTTTACTTAACATAATCACAATGTGTACTTTTTTAAAAAACAAATCTATATCTGTCTATGTCGTTACATAATATAACAGCATGACATACATAAATGACGCTCTAACTCAAGCCAACAAACATGAATTTTGTACTGCGTTCGTCATATGATAATCTCATAAATGTTGTATTTATAATAAGGTCGATATGACTAAATTAATTTTTTGACATATTAGCATGATATTGAAAAAGACTGTCGTACAGTCGAAACGTTTATCTTAACTTTTGTATATTATGACGTAAATCAATAAAAAAATTTTTCAATTAATATCATATAAGCTCGTTAAGTTGGCCTTTTATTATATCACATATTTTAATTGTATACGAGCCGAAGTTTAATTTATAAAATATATATATTTAAGATATGTAGTTTCTTTGAACGTGTGTATTTTGTTTTTTTTTTTTAAACTTTTGAAGAAGACCATATAATTCTTATGGTCGAAACGTGGTCGAAACGTAAAAATATAAACACCTATCAGTACTTGCTAGTGGGTCGATTTCACTCAAAACTTTTTATTCAATAATTAGCTTTTATCAAATCTTTACGCTTGGTAATTGAAAAATCTTTACGCTCATTTATTTTTATAATAATTTAATCATTTTTTGAAGATATTGTTAAGTTCATATCCACGTTTTGATTTTGGAATAACAATTCTCTACATTCAACAATTTTTAAGATTGTTCTTAATTAACTACTCTAATTTCTTCAAATACCGTCTTCCTATTGTGCTTTCAGTACGCAGTAATCAAGTAGTTAGTAGTTCAAGTCGATATTTTTCAAAAAAAGGAATTGGGAATTTCTTTATTTATGATAAATATATTTTTTGAATAACAATTTGTATAAATATATACTATATGTATAATATATATTAGATGTATGCAAAAGTTTTAGTCATTTTTTTAGATTCTTGCTCCTTTTATAAATTATACAGGGTGTCCTATTTTAAAGGACCCAAATATATAAACTCCGCATTACATTTTAAAGACCCAAATATATAAATACTGCATTATATTTTAAAGACCCAAATATATAAACACCGCATTACATTTCAACATTTTGACTGGAAAAATCCTACTATACTACACAAAGAGAAATTTTGGAAAAAAAAAAAGCTGAAATGTATTTCATTACAAAAATCAGGAAATGCTATTAATTTACAAAAAGGTACAGAAAAATTTACCACAGTATATGACTGTTTAGATGTTAGTATTAGTTTGTTTAATGTATGTCTCGTTTATTTTGTTGTCGGATATGGACGTAAGTTTCAAACACGAACATATTAATATTATATATATTGCGACGACTTTTCTCGCCCCTGGAGCACCGAAGTGGCGAGCAAAGGTCGTTGTAAAAAAAGGAGAGAAATAATAGAAAATTGTTTATTCCTTAAAAATTTATACGCGGAAACTGAGGTTGGTGGTCGCTCCGCGCGTGCCGCAGCAAAACGCCAGCCGACGGATACGCGAAAATGCTCTAATTTTTGGGCGCCAGACGCGATCTTTTACGCGTCAATTCGCGACACACTGAATAACACGAAAATCCGGCCGGAAGTTCCGCAACGGACCGGCTGCTCACCTAACGGTAGAGGGGCAGGGTGTGGTTGCCGCGAAAGAAATAACAAAACGTGGACTCGAAGTAGGCGCGAGATTTCTTTTTTCTGATCACCCGGTGTTAGGATGCGACAACACAAAGAAACATATAATAATAAAGACGCGACGTGTAAGATAAAAAATTGATTCCGATTTATTTCAATAATAAAATAAAAGAAAGAAAAATAATACAAAATGTAATATCAAGTAAATCGGATAACTCAGAGTCAGAGTACAAAAAAAGTGATTAGTAAAAATATAATTTGAGTCGTTAGCGAGATTTGTAAGCAACGTAAAATCGGTTTTACAGACTCAATATAGAATAATAACGCCGAAAAAATATGATACTAACGAATTTGACTTGATTCGCTACTCGCGCTAAGCGAGTGAATTCAAATCAGGTATCGACTTGACGACATAAAATTTCCGACAAAGACGACAACATATAATGAGCCGCCAAATACAGCTTTAATCTCCGCTCGCGAAATAACACAACTCTACGCACGTCACACACGCGACAACTCTACAACAATTTACACGTCATAAACGAGCGAACAAAAGATTCGGCGGTCGGAACATTCGAGTTTAGATCCGACGAAGTCTCCGTGATAATCAGAGAGCACAAATGTCGCCGCGAAAGAATACCATTCGATAGTGGATGCGAATGCGCCGGCGACCGGCAGTTCACGGCTATCGCCGTCTCACTCACTCTCGCGCGCGCTCACTCTCTCTCCTTGTCGCTTTCGCGCTCTCACACGCGGTCTCGTCTGCACGGTTCTCTTTCTCGACATCTCTTTACCGCCGAAATAAGCGACGGACTGGTACACGATCTATGCAATTTGCCTCACTCACTCGCACACACGATACTCGACATTCTCCGCAAGATGTGATCTTTCAAACACGCGAATACACACGACAAATAAGTTGAGACGGCGCGACGATAACGAACCCCCAAGAGACGTAATTCGCAATATAACTACAACGCGTACTTGTTCCGGAATTCTTCGCCGCTTGACCACGATTGTTCTCGCAAAATCCTTAATCCGAAATAATACGCTACTAACGGGCTTAGCCCGTACGCTAAATAATAAAAGAAAAACACTAAATTTCGTGATCGCGCCAGCACGGTCGAGGCTCGGAAGCACAAAGCGGACGAGTTACTTGCGTAATACTCAGAGTAGCCTCACCGGAGAAACTCCTCTCTCGTCCTCGGGCCTCCCGAATCTTAATCCTGCGGTGTTTGGTCCTCTGCAATCTTACGATACGTCTCTGTACGTCGAGCGGTTGCGCCAATCTGCCGGGTCTGCCGACTCGCTATCGGCAGCCGGGCGAATTCGACAAGTTAGGGGTGGGATTTGCGATAGCCAATTACGGCTTTCCGCGTATTTCCCGATTTTCG